TTTTTGGTGGTGGCGCTCTTGGGGTACGCCGCCGCTAAGCCCCAGGTGTTGCTGGACACGTATGGGTACTACGCAGCCCCAGCCTATGTCGCCTCGTACAGCGCACCCCTAGCGTATACATATCCCTATGCCTACACTTACTCGTATCCATTAGCCTATTATTGAGTGAACCAACACATTGTTTTAACTGAACCTACTACACAAAAATGTAACAGAGGGCCGCAATTATTTTTGTATAACTCTTAATGATAGTTTAAGCATAATGTGTATGAAATTGCACAAGTAACGACTTCTTGTCCTTTCTTCTATAATTATATGGAAATTGATAGGAAACATGCTGCTGTGTATTTGTAAAATAATATTTGGCTATTTATTGTTATTTACGGAATGACTGAAAAACTAATAACCAGTATTCGAAAATTATTTATTAAAAAATTACTCTAAAAAAACTGTTTTTTTATTTTACGTATTTCATATTTTACTGTTTCTGATTGTACACGAAAAAGTTATGTAACTTTTTCGTTAAAAAGTTATGTAACTTTTTCGTGTACAATTAATCGTGTAAAATTATGGTACCATTTAAAAAAAATGCCAGTTTCTGCCACATTTGGCTACAAGTATGTCAATATTAGAATTGAAGTAGTGTTGGCCGTTGCCGGATATCAAATGATTTTTATTCATTTACTCGATTTATATAAATACTGCTGTATTAATTATTGTTGTTATTGTAACACGGAATTAATAGTAGACAGGCAATGATTATTAATGCTCACATTATAATAATTTTGGTTTTTATGTACGTACTATATACAAAGTTCAACACATTTTCACAATTTTCTTTCAAAAATCTTGATTCGGATTTACGCACCAAGATCTCCTGTAATTTTAAATGAATTTATTGCCGTACTGGAAAGCGTCAATTGCCATAATTAATATGTAAATGTAAACGAACAGCAATCCATGAAATATTCCATATTCCATATTTCATGGATTGCGAGAGATTTTTTTCACAATTACACGTTATTACCCAAGTTATACCATTACTAAAGGAATACTTTGACTTAAAACCCTTATTTATTAAACTTAAATCGCTATTGATTAATATGTCTATAACAACAACATAATATGTATAACTATGTTCATGAATATTTACAAAATTACGAATATAAAATTAATAAAATATAAAATAAATAATTAATAAAATGTACGAAAAGGAGTTTAAAATGATATATTTCTAAAGAGTCTCATGGTGTCAAACTAAATGATTTGTAACCTTTTTTAAAACTGTAAGAAATTGTCTGCAGACTCTCAATCTGTTTATTCGAGAAACTATTTACAAATTTTTGCTAAAATAAAAAAAATATAGTTTTTTTCGATACAGTGTTAAATGGTTTTGATAGATATTTAATTAAGAAGTCGAAAAGATTTCAAACCATGACGCGAAGTAAATAATTTACTTTTAAATTGCGATAACATTCTTTCCGGAAGAATTAGGAGACTTCTCGGGACGACAGTGTTCAGTTACCTTCAAGTGAGCTGATTGATGTTCAGCCTTTTTATGGCGGAGAGGCTTAGTAGCCGTGGATCGGTAACCCACGGTGAAGCCAAGACGAACCTACACTTAGCACTTAAGCCTTATACCACTGGGCTGGCCTGTAGTATAAGGAGGAGCCCCTTTTGAATCCAAGCGTTGCGGGCAGGTTAGGGGTGGTAGAAGAGCAGCTAACCTCTCTGTCTCTGCAACCGAGGTGGAGGCGCGGAGGAAAAGGAGTGTTGATATTGTATTTGGTCACCCTCCCTATCCTCTGCGTCTCAGCGTTGCTGTACCGTTGATGCACGCGGTACGGATGTGACATTGAGAGAGAAAATTCGATTTGGGGAAAAAAATAATCGGAAGAAATAATCAATATTTTTCAAAAACCGATTATTTCTTTCTATCCTGTAGCCAAATGCGCACTATTGAAGAAAACCCTGAACTCTAGTAAAGCCCGCAATAGTCTAGGTTGTTGCACAAATGGGCAGATCCGCCCAGGGAATTATCACAGAAGATCGACATACTCATCGAAGTTATACTTCTGCGTTGATAATTGATTGAGTGAGTGAAACACAATGGGGCCACTTTATTAAAAGGTGGCATCAAATCTGCAACCATACGGGTGTTGTTAACGTCTATGGGCGGCGGTCATCAATACTTCTTACATAAAAAAGAACTCAGTGCCTACTGGTGGCACTTCCTGGTCATTCAAGACTTACTTCACATTTGATTTATTAAATGGAATAGTGCAAAATTTAAATCTTTCCTTGGGCGCTCATAGCAAGAGCTGGGGCACTGCTTGTGCCTTTTAACATTAAATAAGTCTTATTGCAAAACCAAGCCAGTAGATAGGAGAATTTAAATTAATTCATCGGACATGGTCTTGGTTTATAATGATTATAAACTAGAACTAGACTGAATAGATAATGCGCTGTACTGTTTAGTATTAACCCGCCCGGTTATTATACATTATTTCGGTGCAGATGACATAGCTAATGACATAACAATCATGGCATTCACAAGGCCGAACGTCTTGCCTTGGGTATCCCAGCTCATTTGTATTCAAAGGTGAGAACCGCCACAATCTAACAACTCATATTGCTAATCTAATCCACCTTTGGGAACATATTTGCATGCATTATTAATAAGAAAGCATTTATAACAATGATACAGTATTGAATTATATATAGGTAGGATTCAAACTTTGGATGATACGCAAAATAATGCGAATTCTTATATACACTCCTACTGTCTTTAAAAGTGGAATCTGTCATATTTAAAGGTCTATATTGTTCTTTATAATGTACCTAAGGTACGTTATGAAAAACATATCCTATCGTTTAATCTGATGTGACTCAGAATCAGTGACAAGCGAGAAGACAGATCACTTTATTAAGTATTTACCACCTCCCTTCAACGTCTAGCACCCTTAATGGCAAATACGTTGCCATCCATTTCTACAATGTTACCTCGTTCACCACACGCAGCACAGGTACCTATAATTTTTCCACTTCACGCTGGCCAGTCTTCTATTAGGCCGCGGTGCTTCTCCGTACAACAAATATTTCCAGCAAATGAGCGCATAACCGCTATAGTGAAATGCACGCTTGATGTGTGGATTGCATAGGTGCCGGCACCTATGAAATTTTTACACTATGTGCTGAATAACGACGTGAAGGTACAAATCCTGAAGTAAGATACACGTCGAACAATTATCATTAAGAATATTTCGAACAACAGTAATGTCCCACAAGAATTAGGTAGGTACATGTACGTATATGTATCTGTCAGCTGTTAAATATTTTTTCATAATTCTAAATTATTACTATTGTATGCTATATACTGATTTAGTAAATTTTAACTCTTACTACATGATCACCATTATTTTTTACCTAGAATGAGATTGTAAGGATATTGGTTCCTTAAATATTTTATTTTAGAATCATAAAAGGAAATAAATCATTTTCAAACATGACTTTTATTTGGTATTGTTTCAGCCTTGAGGCTCTAATTTTCTTTATTAAATAAAAAAACAATTTTTTTTCAATATTTTCATATTTTATTTCCTATTTTAAAATGGCATAATTTACAGATTGATCAATATACATGCGTATATGAGGATTGTTAGAAACTTGATAAAAATCCAAGTTACACAGAGTAGTAGAATCTATATCTAAGTATTTATCTAAATTTTGTTATCTCATATCTATTAAAATACGAGTCGGATTAAAAAAAATATTGTACCTTTCAATTAAATTTAAATTTAAATTAAAACATTAAGTAGGGTTAGTAGTATATTAGGAATAAAATAAAAAAGTCCCATTCCTCTTCGAGCCGTATGCTCATTGCTGAACATGGAATAAAATAGTTTAGGGCATCAAAAGTAGTCTATTATGTCATACTGCACAGACTTTTTTATCTTTGAAGTTTATTTATTTTATATACGCAAGAGTCGAAAAAAGACAAAGTTAATCCACATTCATATAATAATATCCACATATAAGCAGAAAATTTCATTCTGAAATTTTGAGAAAACTTAGCATTCATAAAATCCTGATAGTTTTCTAAGCGTAGGCCTTAACTGTATTTATCGGCTTTTCACCTTTCCAGGAAAACAATATCGGTTTCAATCAAGTCACGTGACTAAATATACATTTATGTGGTTGTGTTACTTGTTTCGTTATCGTTTGGTTATGATGTTATCCGAAAAATTCCTTCTGATTTTAGTTAAGTAAATTTAAATACCACGAACAGCTGCAGCCTGTAGCCCTAGTCTAGTTTTGATAAATCTAGATGATTGAGTAGTAGAATATAGTCTGGCCTTTTAAAGACTATCCAAATAATAAAAAATGTAATAGACCAGTCTAATATATTTTTATTATGTACATATTCTAGGACATCATTATCATATTTGTCGCTTCAAAGAGCATTAATGAGTCCACAAAACTGCCTTAAATTTTTATTCAAATCAGACATAGAAAGGCAGTTTAAAAAAATAAGATACTGATATTAAACATCAGATGATCTTATAAGATATATAATATATATTAGTATATAAATAAATTTTAAAAAATGTGGTTGAAATAGTTTTTAAGTTTTTATAAATTTACAAAATCACCTAAGCTTTCTTGCAACTTTTTCAGCCTAATCATAGCATTTCGAACTTATTGTTATGAACTATGAAAAGGAATGATTGGATATTTAAATTGCTAATACTAATACACATGCTATTTACCTACAAGTAATTACAGTAATAGCTTAACATTAATATAAATACATTCTTAAAAGCAATCGGCTAACCGATAAAATACTATTATGCTTTCTTAAGTTATTTGCACACCTAAATACATTATGTATAAGCGTCGATTTACAAAACCCACGAGATGTATCGTCCGAAGGTCACTGATTGTCTGGCAACACTAGCACAAGGTCCGAGTTCGTTTTGCTACCTTTTACCACAGGATTACGCGACCTCCACCTCAGAGTCGGAGTCGTCGGAGTAGCTCCTGGCAGGCTGCTGGCTGGTGTATGGTGAGTGGGGCGAGCGGTCCTGTTGCGGCCGCGCCAACAGTGGGGTTCGGCCGCAGGCGCGTTCCTCCTGCAACTTCCTCAGCCTCTCCTGCTCCTCGCGTTTCTGCTTACGCCATTTCGCCCGCCGGTTCTTGAACCACACCTTCGAAAGCAAGTCTATGTTTAACCGGTGTTATTTTAATGTGAAAAGGTGGCAAGCGAGCTGGCGGTTGACCTGATGTTATTTGATAACCGCCGCCCATTGACATTCGCAACACCCGTAGAGTTGCATATGCATTATTTCTTTCTATAGTATAAAACGGGCCCCGGATACCTCACTTACCAGACGAAACGCAGAAGTGTTATACTTCCGCTTTGCGCCGGTCTTCTGTGAGCTCGTGGTAGTTATCCGGACGGACCTGTTCATTCGTACAACAGCGAAGGGCTTTTGCGTGGTCCAACCACAGTAAGTGCCACAGTAAAGATATCTATCATTTATCTACATTTTACACTCACTCGCAAGTTCACGGCGAAATGGAGAGTATAAGAACTCTCCTTTTCTAAGAACAAAAATAAACAACATGATGAAATATAGAATAAAAAGCAGAAATTTTGGAAATTTTGCCACTTTGTAAATAGTGCTGCTCAAGGTCTAGACTTCAAGGGTAAAACTCTGTCCATGCGTATAATTACAAACTAAAGTACTGACAATGTTGTAGTGTTAACAATATTGTTGTCATAGTTAAAGTAAAATAAATATACATTTTAATAATTAACTTATTATGTTTGCTCTGAATACTCGCATGGTGGGGGATGCTAAACTATCGGGTTGGGTTTCATATTAGTATACTAATATAAAATATATATAATTTACATACAAATTATAAACAAGCAATAGTTAAAAAAACCCATTATACAGCGTGTCGTTACCATCGCGACAATAAATGAACACACGTCTAACGCTACTTGCCAATAATCATAAAAAAATGTTAACGTTAAACAAAATCCATAATTAAAAAAAAATATTTTTCAAACAAACTAATTAAGTAAAAAGGAAACAAAATTTGTAACATCCTATAAAACTCGCGCCACAGCGTCGCATTACAAGCCTCTTCTTCTAACAGTATGTTTTGTCTCTTTTAAATTCATTCAACCCATTCATATGCTTTGTGACCTTTACAAATGAGCTTTACGTTACAGTTTTATACGTAAGGGTGTTCTAAAACTGTTTGTTTTGGAAAATTTAATAACTCTGTAAATATTGATGTTAAGAATGTAAATGTTTAATACAATTTTAAAAAGTTATCCTCTATATGTGTGTTCATTTATTGTCGCGGTGGTAACGACACACTGTATAGATAACTGAACTAAAAATTAGAAAATAATTTTCAATAAATTAAAATTAAGAATACTGTGAATAACAAAAACATCTTTTATTGTAGAACGTGGTAGAGCATGGGGAGCTTTGAGTCAACCGTTATATTTTAATGACAGATATTGGTATAAGTGGAGTCATTATGGTAATATATTAAAAAGCAACGTGTGTTTTAGTTTTTTAAAACTATTATTTATTTATTGTATTTTGTACTTATGAAGCATTTTTAAATGCGTACTTAGGTTAAAGACTACCGTATCGGGTATCGGATTTGGATCCTGATGGTCCTAATCAGGATAATGGGATGTTTCAATTTAATTCGACGTTTTGAAGTGGGTCAAAATCACGTTCAAACATTCCGTTACATATATATTCATACATACCAAGCAAATAAAAGCATTTTACAATGTGCGCATAATTTTAACATTTGTTTACAGCTAGCAGTATTACTTTGCACTTAAGCAACTAGATTTAATGAAATCGATTTTGTTTCTTTTACAAACACTTCTTTTTGCCGACAGAGCAAGAAATAATAAAGGACTATGTTCAGTAGAAAGAAAGACATTTGATCATTAATATAAATAGTCTACCGTGCCTACTGCATTTATATCGATGCATTTCATTATTTTGTCTTATACCATAGCTGAACGCATTTAGGTAACAATACATGTGTTTTTCAATAAATAAAGATGTAAAATTGAAAATCAATCGTATATAATTCTAATACGACACCGAGTTCGAATATTATTGGGTTCGATATCATAAAGCATTACACGGCCAGTTGTCCGCAGACAATAGAGCGGCCCAATTCGGTAAGCAGCGACGGCTACTGAAGCAAAACATTTGAGGAAAAAAAAACATGTTTGTAGCGTTTGTTGTGTATCATGCGAATGGAACGGCGATGGCTTTCGTCTTTCGCAACAAAAGGGCATTGGAAAAAACTCGAATCAATGGCACTGGGTATGTGTGTCTCATTCTGGTTGGAGGTTTCCACTCGACTGCGTGTTCACAAGTGTCTTAGGGATGCTCTCTGGCTGCGGGTGGTCGCCATTGTGTCTGCTCCGGTCAAAATTCTGGCGGCAACCTTTCCGACGCGCTCACAACAACCTCATTGATAAACGCGCCCACCCTTTGTGGATAGGCACGACTGACCATTAAACTATAAGTTAAGCCCATATTAAAAGTTAAATTAGATCGTAATTGGCATTAAATTTATTTATGAACAAGACTGAACTTGGCAAATGAACGAACTTGTTATGTTTAATTTAGAATTTTTTAAATATTTTTTCATATTGTATATCTTATAACAATTTAATCTCAGATTGTGTGCTTGGAGTAGAACATTACTTTAAAAGTGGTAGGGTCACACAACAGCTTCGGCTGTTGCACAAATGGGCAGGTCTGTCCGGGTAAGTACCACAACCTTCACAAAGACCAACGTAAAGTGGAAGTTTCGTCTGGTGATTGAGGTAGCCCACTTTATTATAAGGTGGTAACGAATCTGCAACCCTACGAGTGTTGCAAATGTCCATTGGCGTGGCGATTGCATTTTATTCTGCGATCGACGTTCTGCAACCCTCTACGGGTGTTGCAAATGTCCATTGGCGTGGCGATTGCATTTTTTTCTGTGATCGACGTTGATATTTGCCTAGAAATTATCGCCACCCATGGGTATTGATATTACTTGTGGTGTTGCAACTGCGTTGCTAACACCTCTCTAACATGTTGAAACGCAAAGTACATATAATACTTCCAATTGAAGGTTATAGTGTGAGTTTGAAGACCACAAAGCTCATGGGATAACCAAATCTCACGAATTTAATATAACCGTCTGTGTTGGGTAGGTTCGAGAATGGGCTTATGCGTGCGTTATCGAATGGCTAGGAATTTCACTTACAGGCCATCCAGGTTTGGTACGAATGGTAATCTCAATGACCGTTGACTGGGGTTCGACTATGTTATCCCCCTGGACGAACCTAATATGGCAAAACAACGTTTGCCGGGTCAGCTAGTAATCTTTAAAAGACTATTTTATTATTCCCTTGAAATTATACATTCACCATTTCCATAACTTTTAAATTACGTTGAAAATACAAACGAATACATAAGTAAGAATTTAATTTAATACGTAACAGTGGCAAATTAAACTCTTTCAACTTACTTGTCACATTGCTTGCTGGCTTTCAACGACTTCAAAGAAATGATTTCGCAGAAATATACAAAAGGACTACAAATGCGACTACAAATTTCAAAGTTAATTTTGCGGGACTTCTCCAGGAATTTTCATTGAGAAACTGAGCAAAGTATGTTTCCTAAGTAAAAAATGTTACAACCATTGACTCATAACAACATAACGAGAATTAACGTTAATTTGTTAACGATAGCGCTATTGTGGAAGTTAATTGCATTACAAGAGTGGGCGAGCGGTTTGACAAAAGCCCTATTAACTTTCGGGAAACGAGTGGGGTATTTCGCGCTGCGCGCATTCGAGGCCACTCGAGCGGGAAATATGGACGCTGCCACCGGCAGACGACGGGGCGGCTTCTGGCTCCTTCGGCGCGTTCGCTCCTAAATTGATTCCTCGTTACCCAGAGGAGATTAGCTCGCTCTTTTGTCCGCTGCTGATTGTGCTCGGCTTAACTCGTTCGTTGTTTTCATTCACGAGCCAGTTTTGTAACGCACCGCACTATGTAGCTTTAGATTTGGGGTTTACCGTTCGGTGCATTTGGTGATTGTTATCGTGATTAGAAGATAATCGGGCGCGTTCTTATTGATGCAGTGCGTGAACGCATTCAAATAATCAAATTTCATCTTGCGAATACTGGATGGACGTGTTGCTAGAGTTATATAAGTAGAAATAACAATCATGATCATATTAATGATTATTAAAGACAATAATAGCCCGAACTTACGCGATAGGTTTGACTGAGTGATAACCGCATAGCTCGCGGTATAATTTTACATGTAAATAAATAAAATACAACTTATTCTTAGTCGGGATCGGAGGCAAATAATTTAGAAAAAGAAAAAATCTTTAGTAAAATGTTAGAAGACAAATACAGAATAGCAATCTGAATTTTGAGAAAGTAGTCTGCTGGCTCATTTCTTTTTTTTTTAAAAAATACTCTCTTCTGTGAAGTATGTGTTATCTAAAATGTTTACAAAATTTCCTAAAATAATCGTGGAGTTTAACTTTAAGGCCGAAAATCACGTAACTCCCTCGCGTACGTCGAAATACATACCGTCGTATACCAAAGGCGAATCTAATGATGAATCTAATGAGATATGTATTTTTATACAACAGCGCCGAAGGTTTAATGTCAAAAACCAACGACGGAATCATTTGCGGGAATCTGTTTTTCCGTAAAATTTATCGCTTAACTACCTTCACCATCACCGGCTGATTCGCGACTAACCATTCGATGGGTTCGCGATAGTCGAAAATTGCTTTCGCATTTCTTGCATCTTGAAGAAATGCGTTAAAAGAAAAGTTATAAATTTTAAAAACTTATAAATGTAATAATCGTAAATCGTTTCGTGTCTACGTGTAAGCGAAGGCGTCAGCCGGCTTCGCGATAAACAGGTCCTATATTTTAACTTAGAAAGTGTATCTCGTACCTATATTATTTACATAGGAGTGACAGCTCAGTGTACCGGTGCTCGCTTTAAATCCGCTCGCGAGTTTAAATTCCGATGCCGGCACTAACAAAATTGTCAATCGCAATGCAGTACATCGTGAGGAAATAATTATTTCAAAATAATAACACAAAAAATATATCTAAGGTATG